CCGCTCGGCTGGCCTGCAAGATGCCAGCTGAGCTGACCTTATAGGACCTGTTTACTGAGCTTTGCTCCCCGGATTTGGAGCTGAACCGACGCTGGGATTCAAAGACGACAAAAAAGGCTCTGTGGCCAGAGCGAGAGCAGGGTGCCGAGAGCAGCCCTCAGGAACGGGCACGGGCGGCTTAATCCTACGCTGGCCGCGGCTTCACCTGCCATCTTGCACAGGCCGCGCCTGCTCCTCTGCCAGACCTTTGTAGCCAAACCTCTCCCCCACCACAGAGCGGGGGACCCCGAGCCCAGGGCACCCCAGACCTTCCAGCAACCAGTGTGGGTAATCCCCGTCAGGTGTCCCCGGGTCTCGGAGGGGGAGCCGGGGCGCCCGGCTCCCCAGGTGACTCCAGTCCCTTCAGGGCTGGGTGGGGAGCACCTGCTTTTGGGGTGTCCCTATGACAGCTCTGCCCGTCAGGAGCCCAGCCGGGACAGACGGCCCCCGTCAGAGCTGCAGGGACGTGCCGGGTTCCCGGGACGGGAGAAGGGACCGTCTGATTGCCGTTTCTCACTCACCGGCTCCCAGGAGCCCATCCTTGCCGTAGCGGTCGTACAGGTCACGCTTGCTCTCTGCAAGGGAGGAGGAGCGAGAGGTCGGTGCGCACTGACACGCGGCCTCGGCTTGTACCCAGCCCCAGCACCGAACCGCCGTAGGAGCGGCCAGGATGGACAGGTGTGGAGTTGGCGCCGGTGCCAGGGCCTCGGTCTTCCAAGCCCAAGGATGACAAGCGGGGGAGCCGGGGGAGGCCCAGCAAGCTGAGGAGAGGGTGTCAGACAAGAGGCAAGAGCCTGGGGGTGCTGGACAGAGCCGGGGTGAGGGCAGCGGGGTCCCAGCTGGCTGGGAAATCTGGGGACCGTGGGTAAGTCCCCCCAGGCCACTGGTACCAGGGCGGCTTAGCTCAGCTTCTCCCACTCATGCCACCACGCACGGGGTGGGTGCAACCCGCAGGCCCAGAGCCCGGGAGCCAGCACCCGCCCCTGCTCCCGGTCAGTGCCCGGTGCCAGCACGTGGTGCAAAGGGCCAGGGGGCGGGGGCGGGCGCCGGCCCCTTACGGTCCGACAGCACTTCGTAGGCCTCCGCAATCTCCTTGAACCTCCGCTCGGCGAAGTCCTTCTCCTCGGGGTTCTTGTCCGGGTGCCACCGCAGCGCCGCCCGCCGGTACCTGCCGGGGGGGCACGAGGAGCCGTGAGGCCGGACTGCACCGTTACACGGTGTCCCCAACCCCGGTCAGACACGGGTCCCGCGGGATCCAAGACGGGGGGTGAATCATCCCTGGGAGCTCAGCCCCACCAGGCCCGTGCGTCCACCACGTCGGTCAGGTCTTTGTAGTGGGTCGGCTCTTCCAGTCGGAGAGCCGTTTTAGCAGGTGGTAATTACGCTGCACGTATGGCCGCGCTACATCTGTTCCGCGATTCACCAGTGAACAGCATAAATGTAACGTGTAGCCGGGCCCATCCTGTTCCAGTCCCAGGCAGCACGTGGTGCCCTTACTCTCAGCGCAGCCCCAGCCCCACGTCACAGGGGGCATCGGGGGGTGTCCAAGTCTCCGGGGCAGGTCAGACTGACCCCCTGCCCCCTCCGGTGTCTGCCAGGGCCCAGACGGGCAGTCGTGCAGCAGGCTCTGCTCGGCTCCCCCACGGCACGGGCTAGCTCAGCGCAGACGGACCCTGCGGCACGGCCAGCTTTGCAGCCCTTTCCTCTGCACGACGCTTCCCCATCGGAGAGGGGGATGCAGGGAGTCTGGGAGGCTGCTGGTGCCTGGATGCATGGGCCCGAGGGGCCAGACAGCAGAGCAGGAGCCCTGGGGAGGGAGGACTCACGCTTTCTTGATGTCGTCCGCGGAGGCGCTGCGGGGGATGCCCAGCAACTCGTAGTACTCCACCATGGCGGGGCCGGGGGTGCCGGGGCAGCTGCGCAGGGGAGGCAACAAGAGGCATCTGGGGCTGACTGGCAGGGACTGGACCCCACCGCTGGCCCTGCACCTGCAGGCAGCGCATCCCGCAGCCCTCTTGGGCATGAAAGAGTCCCAGTGCCACGGGGTGCCAGCCCAAGCCCACCCTCGGAGCTGCACGACACCATCGTTCCCGATACAGCCCCGGACTTCACCCCTGCCCCCGGGATACGGGGGGGCTACAACTGCCAACGTCCTGCTGCTGCCGGGGGGTCAGCGGGCGCTGCAGAGAGCCCAGGCCCAGGCCGCGCCCCTGCTGCAGAAGGAGGGGAAACCCCCCCGGCCGGGCCCGGCTGAGCAGGGGGCAAATCTGGGGTGGTGGCCATGCAGCTCTTCAGGACCCTGGTGCAGAAGGGGACTTCCCAGACCTGGTCAGGGCTGGCATCTTTTGGGCAGGGGACAGACAGCCCCAAGGAGGGAGCATCGCCCTAGTGCTCGGGGTCTCCACCTGCCCAGAGCTTACAGTGACTACTGGGGGCAGAGGGGTGCCACCCCCAGACTCCATTCAGAGGGGCAGCAGCACCCCACCCTTGGCGCTCAGCACCCCCTCTCTGGCCAGCAAGGCCCAGGCCACACCTCACTGCAGGAGGCGTGGTCCCGGCCGCATCCTGCCCGTGGCCGCCGGGCCCTCCGGCACAGCTTCACACCTGCCCAGCCCGGCCCTGCCACTGCCGCCACGGGGAGGGCCCAACTCCTCCACCGCCGCCCGGCCCCCCGCTGAGAATTAACACCCGATGCAGCCAATGGGAAGCTCAGGCTGATTGTGATGTCAGCACTTGGCAGGCGGGAGGTGGGAGTCCCTGGCTCAGGCCACAAGCGGTCCAGGCGTGGTGGGTGGGGCGGGGCACGGACAGGCCATTCACAGCGTCCCAGCGCCACAAGTAAGAGGGGTGGACTGCGCTGCCTGCCACGAACCGGCGACTTCAGCACAACGGGCATCTCCGAGGCTTGGGGGACGGGCGGCGATCCACGGGCCACGATCCAAACTGTGGGAACGACAGAGCACGAAGAGACAAGGCAGGGCAGGGATGGCGCTGATGGGAACGGCACAAGCACCTCACCTGGAAGGGGAACCGCCACAGAGCCCCTGCGCGGAGAAACCCCGCTCTTGAATAAGGACATGGGGCTGGGGTCGTACCGCCGACCGCCTGAGGCGACTATGAAACGGGGGGGCAGAAGCTGCTAAAACGAGAGGAGCAATGATCACGGGAGACTGCACCCGCCCCCACGCAGGCAAGGCAAAGACTGCTCGGGGCGAGCTGTGGGAATGCAATTTCTGGGTGAAAAAGTGACCGTTTCTAGAACCCACAAGAGGAGAAGCAAGGCGAGACCTAATGCAGTCACACCAGGCCTGGCTCATGGGGCATCCGCTCGTCAGCCGCCCTGCAACAGCAACCTCCACACGGCACGAGGAGAGGTGTGGGGACCGGGGTGCTTCACTCGGCAGAAGAGAAGACCGAGGGGGATTGAATAGCAGCCGTCACCTCCCTGCAGGGGGGCCGCAAAGAGCATGGAGCTGGGCTGATCTCGGTGGGGGCAGACGAGCAATGGGCTCAAGCTGCAGCAAGGGAAATTGAAGCTCGATATTAGGGAAAACTCTCACTTGGAGTGTAGTAAAGCACTGAAACAGGTTACCCAGAGAGGTGATTGGATGCTCCAACCTTGGAGGTGTTTAAGACCCAGCTAGACAAAGCCTTGGCTGGGATGATGGAGCTGGGGCTGGTCCTGCTCTGAGCAGGGGTTGGACTGGATGTGACCTCCCGAGCTCCCTTCCAACCTTCATCGTCTACGATCGCACTCAACATTCAAGCAGGAGGGAACAAGACAAAAAAAAGAGTCTGCCACATGCGGACATGAGTGGAAATTAGACAAGAACGAGGAAGCAAGTTGATAACATGCAAACAGTTTGGAGGCTGTTTATAAATACCGCGTCAGAGCAAAGCTTGTGCCACAAAACAGAAAAGGCACCAAGCGGTCCGATAAAACCCCACCCCGGTTCAGTGCCAGTGTTCAGGAGGCCGTTCCAGGTACAAAGGCATCCTTCGAAAATGGAAGGTGTGTTCACACGAGGAAGAAACCAGGAAGGCCCACGAACTCCGGCCGCTACAGCGCAGAAGTGCAACAAGGCCAAAGAAGAATTTGAGAAGCATCTAGCAAAACATGCGGAAGTTAACGATAACTTTTCCAAGCACGTCAGCAGGTGGAAGCCAGCCAGAGACTCAGCGAGACCACTAATGCCCGGGGTGCCAAAGGTGCACTCAAAGCCTTCAGCCGAGAAGCTCAACAAAGTCCGTGTCCGGCACAGAAGGGACCAGGGGAAATCCTCTTGCCACTTCAGTCCTTTCTGGCAGAGGGGCCCATGCTGCAGGGACGACAGAGGGAGCTTATCCGATGGATTAACAGACCATGAGCAAGTCGCAGGCACTCGGCCAAGACCTCTGCTGGGACTCGGTGGTGACATTGCAGAACTGCTGGCAGCAAAACGTGAGCTATTGTTACAGCCGGCCTGCGCCAGAGGGCTGGCGGGTCGCCGACATAACGAGGGGACCCTGGAGCTACGGAGCAGGAAAGCTGGTAGAAACTGTAGTCGAGCATCCAACCTGCAGCCTCTGGACAAGCGAGACCTGCTGGGGGCCGGCCAGCACGGTTTGGAATGGGAAATCCTGCATCACCGACATGCTGGAGCTCACTGCGGGGGTCCCAAGCACAGGAACAAGGGGGATCCAGTCGACATCTTATATTTGGGCTTTTGACGAGGTCCCTCACCAACGGCTTTAAACACAGCTGTGGCCACAGGACCAGAGGGAAGGTTTTGCGGACCAAGAGCTGGTTAGGAGAGACAGGAAGCAAAGGGGAGGCTTGGTGGTCACTTTTCTGGATCAAGGGAGGTCAAAAGCGGGGTCTGGCTGAGATCTGCGCAGGGTTTTGTGCGACATTTTCACTGGTGACCTGGAAATGGGGTGGCACGGTGACATCTCCAAGCCTGCTGATGATACCAAGTGATCCTGGGGAGCCAAGCCCCAGGGTGATGGAGAGGAGCCGCAGGAAGATCTCGCCCAGCTTGGGAGGGGGCAAAAACCCAGCAGACAAACTGCACTAGGGAGAAGTGCAGCCTGGGGAAAAATACCCCAGCTACACAGACGTGGGGCTGGAGCCTGAACTAGCTGCTAGGACTCAGGAGAGACACCCCGGACTCACTGGAGATGGTTCTGTAGTCAGCTCCGGGCACAGCGATGACCAAATAAAATATTGGGCATTGTTAAGACTGAAATGGAAAACAAGCCGGAGAGCATTGCCCGGCTCTCTGCAAATGTGGGTGCACCCTCACCTCGACTCCGGCGTGCAGGCCTGGTCCCCACATCCCCAGCATGCAGCAGACTCAGAAAAGAGCAGCTACAACGAGCACGGGCCTGGAGCCGTTGTCAGACCAGGAGAAACTAGAAAGGCCAGGACCCTTCAGTGTGGAAAGGAGCCGGCCGAGGGGGAAGAGGACGGGGGTCTACAACATTGTCTGCAGCCTGCGCAATGTTGCTCCCCCTGTCCCACACACTAGAGCTGGGGGCACCAGCTGCAATGAGCAGGGAGTGGGTTTAAAAGGAACAAGAGAAAGGACTTTTTGACGAGCCCCCCTCGTTAGTGAGGCGCTGTGTTGCCCCAGGAGGGGGTGGAGGCTGAGAGCAGAGCCAGGATACATCCGTGGAGGATCCGCCTATTCATGGCTGTTGAATGGAGCAGGTGGAGAGGTGTCCTCGGGCAGCTCCAACCCCACGATGGTGGAGGGTGCTGGGCAGGGAAGAGAGCGCCCGAGAGAGATCCAGTGCCATACTCTTCCTCTATAGCGACTACATCTGCCACTGCAGGAGATGGGACGCTGGAGCACGGGTCTGACCCAGTCTGGCCCTACTTACATTCCTGTGACTCCCCACCCCAACTTCCAGACCCTCCAGCCTCCGCGGACCAACACCACGCACCAGCTCGCAGATGTGCTCCAGCACGGGGTCGATGATCTCCTTGTCGACGGCGTAGTGCCCACGGGCACAGTTGTTGGCCGTGTCCTCCTTGCCCGCGAGGAGCTGCTTGGGGTGGAAGAGCTGCTGGTAGGTCCCGGCGCGCACCTCGTCTGCAAGGCACGGCATGCCCGGGAACTGCTGGACTTTGGGGGGGGGGTGTGGGGGGGTGGCTCCCAAGTGCAGTTGCATCAGCACACTACTGCCCACTACCGACACGTGTGCCCTTGGAGCCGTGTCCCAGAGGACTGGAGGCCCTGCTCTGACCCACGGCAACATGCGGACAGCAGGGACGTGGCGCCATCCAGGAACAACGCTACTGTGGGTCAGCTGCACAGGTTGCCCCTGGCCTGTCCACATGCGACAGAGCGTGACGTCCACTGGGTGGCCCCCCCGCAGCTCTCCGAGTGTCTGCGTGCTAAAGGCAAACCTGGGCCACTCCCAGCAGGGGTCGCAGCCCGTCAGGGCCATTTGGTTCAGGGCCGGGCCCCATGGACCAGCTCCAGGATACAGACCCTTCAGCCAGGGGCCCTGGGGCTGCGGGGACTGAGGGCTCGGTAGTGCCAGGTGTGACCACAGCAGGGCACCCCCTGCTATCTCTCTGTGCCCTGGTGCCACACTCCCCAATCACGGAGAGCTCCACGCGCAAGAAGATGACCCTGGGCACGTGCTCGCCAGCCCCGGTCTCGTGGACGGTGGTGAAAGCCATCCCCACCCCAGATGGTCTTGTCGCCGAGATCTGCCCCTCGCTCCCAAGCAACAGCCCCCCCAGCCCTGCTGGTGCCTTTCACTCCTGACCTGCAGCCCCTGCCCACCCCCCACTCCTCCCCTCTTGCCAGGAGCTCCCCCCGCACCAGGACACCCCCCCCCCTGCCAGCTGCTTTGTGGCTCCGAGCAGTGCCAGCCCCTGCTGTCCTGCTCCTCACG